AAAAAGTGATCGGCATGCGCCGCTTTACGTACATACATTAAAAACACCTATGTATAATAACTCGAAGCGTATGTGTGGCGCTTATTTAAGCATAAAAAAGACGACGACGGTGACGCAGGCGCGAGTGAGCGAGTGAGAGAGAGAGAGAGAGAGAGCTCTTATAATATTATATACACGTACAAGTCGGTGTATAGGTATGTGTTTTATGCGTGTGTGTATATATATACGCGGGCAGAGTCAGCCGCCGCACACGCGCGCGTTTAAAAGAGCAGAGAGCAGAGCGCGCGCGAGCGAATATATAAGCGAGAGTAAGAGATCGGAGCCGGATAATAGCGAAATTCCTGAGCGCTGAGTCAAAAAAAAAACTATATATGCGAGAACGGAGCATCGGGGCACTGATTTTTGCACGTATGTAGCATTTATATATGGGATTTAATGAAAGGGACCGTCGTCGCTTTATATCTGTGTATACTGGATGCTGCGCGCCGACGCCGCCGCGGCTACCACTAGAGCACACGCAGCAGCTTTGCTGCTGCACTGCGGTGCAGTAATAATGTACCAAGCGCATTCGTGGAAAATTTATGAGTTTCCTATCGCGTTGCGCTTTTGCGTCACTCTCTCCCGCGCGCGCGCGCGCCCGAGAGAGCAGAGATTCAAGCAGCTTCTAATGCAAAAGAGTAGCTGTTGCCCTGATACACACACTCGCTCGCACACACACACATACATACGTAAGCTGCGCTCGCAGTTCGGAGCGAAAGAGTGAGATAAATGCATCGCGAGAAAGAAGAAGAAGAAGAAGGAGCAGAAGAAGAGAGGAGTGCGTGATGCAGCTCGTTTTCTTTCTTTCTTTCTTTCTTTCTTGCTTTCGTCGTCGTGCAGTTTGTCGACTTGGCAACGTAGCCAGCCAAAGAGCAGCAGATATATACGCAGAGGAGGCTTGTGCTTCTGCTGTTGCTACTTTTGAGACCGGCTAAACATATTAAAACGTCGGCTCACGCCACCGCAAAAACAACGTGATCTCATTCTGCTGAAAAAGCGACACACGCATATACATACATGCAGTAGTGTGTTGTATATAAAAGTTGGCCGCTATATAACGTCGTGCCACTATAATAGTAGAGACTAGAGCAGCTAGCCCCGCATAGAGCGAGCGCGACACTTGCCCTCGGACTTGCTGCTTCGCAGCTTGAATCGCTCGTTTCGCGCGTTGAAAAGAAGTGCCGCCTACAGGTATAGCATGCCTATATGTTGCTCGTACACGTGTGCGTGCTTGGGCACATATTCCAAATGGATAAATGTATATTTTGCGGAGTGAAAGAGAGAGAAAGACGAAGGAGCAACGGCGAGGAAATTAAAAAGACTCGAAAGACACATATACGTAAGCATACATGTACGTGAGTGCGCGAGCGATGTTACCGGGGAAGAAGATCGAAGAGCGAGGAGCGCGCAAAAATCAAGAGAAGAAGAAGAAGAAGAGGCAAAGACGAAGACGAAGCGAAGAAGAGGCGAAGAAGAAGAAGAGGAGGCAGCTCGTTCGCGCAGGAAATCACTTTCGTTGGAATTCTGAGAAGAACTTCGTTATGCGGCATCGACCGGCCTCGCGCGTAGTTCCGAGAGCTCGGCTTTTGCCTCGCGCTTGCCCCGAGAGAGAACCTCGAGAGAGAGAGAAAGAGAGAGAGAGAGAGAGAGAGAGAGAGAGTGAGAAAGAAAATTTCGAGAAGAGTCATTTTTTAGACCTCACTCGCGCCTCTTGGCCCGCGCGCGCGCGTATATAGCCCGCGAGAAAAAGACAAGTATCCGCCGTGCCGTCAACAGCAACGAGCAGAAGCTGTAGCAACAACGGCAGCAAACCCTGAAGAAGAGATGGTTCATATATGAAGGATGCCGCGAGCTCCGTATATCTCGTCGACGGTCGTATAGCAGTTATTTCTGCTGTTGCTGCTGCTGTTATGTACAGGCAGAGAATCAGCGGACGCGCGCGCGCTCTCTTTCTCTTTTTCGGAGGAATGAGAGTAAGCGAAAAAGGAGTCGTCGACACATTCTTCCTCTTTGGGTACCAACACACACACACATAACACACACGGGGCACATCTCGAGAAAAGAAAGATCTGCGCGCGAGGCGGCTTCTGCCTCTGTGTATACCTATGTGTGTGTGTGTCGTTATGTAGAGGAGGCACTCTCTTGGCGAAAGATCGTTCCAATAATGTTGGCCGATTATCGCGCGAGCCGTGAATAGCTATATAGTGGAGCGAGCGAATCGAGTTCAGCATTTTCTCAATATACATACGATTATTGGGAACGTCAATCTTATCAATTGTAAATAATGGCTCGATTGATAAGCCGCCTCTTTCACTTGTGCCTCTCTCTCTCCCTCGCTCTCTATCTCGGTGTATTCACAAGTGCGAGATCCGATACATAATAAAATACATTAAAGAGAAAAAGACAAGGCGACGATCGAGCGCGTGTTCAAAAACGCACTTATGACACCTAATTACCATCATCGATTATCGACATAACACGTACCGAGAGATCTCTGCCTCGATATTCTTACGTTTTCATTCGATCAAATTTTAATGACTTCTATTGTACCCTATAAGTCGCGAGATGAAAACGGCGTGGCTTGAGGTGTGACTCAATTGGGAAATTAAATGGGACACGCATATATATAGTAGCTCAAAAAATACGTGCGAGATTATGTTTTAGAAAGAAGCTACATTATATATGAGGCAACTCATTGGAGCGACGATGACCGGAGCGCCTCTTAATTCTTTTCCTTGTTTTTAATCCTTGAAACTCGTACGAAGCTCTTGTTTTTCAATCGATATAAAGTAAAACACGACGATCGCGGTTTTGTCGCAACAATTCATACCCGTTAAATCTTAGATTATAGCAGCATCCTCTACATATGTTCGACGAGTGATTGACAATTGAATGCGATCTTTACGTCCGATACACGCACATCTAGCTACGCGTGGCAGTGTATCTAGCACGCACCGGACGACGTCGTATAACGCGACTGCCAAAAAAAAGTTAGTTGAAATTTTCCAAGCGGCTCTAAATGCCAACTTTTAAATCGAGTCAGGGCAACACGTATAGCTCGATGCTCACCTGACCGATTGAATGTAGCGAAGAGCTCGAAAAAATCTGCGCAGCAGTGTTTTTTATGCTTCAAAAATGTATTTCTTTTCGACGTTTGTTGAATAACGGCTCTATTCGGCAAATGTTCCAACAAATGATCTCAAGGACAGGTTGCAAAAACTTTTGTGCCCATCTCTCGTTTCGTTTTTTATTTTTCAATTAATCTTAATCAGGATCAAGGCATTTGGTCATTAATAATTTGGCTTTTGAGCATTCATAGCAGCGAAAAGATTTCTGCTACGTCTATTAGCTCGTTATATAAACGGAACAATTTGAAGTGACATACAAGCCGTCACTAATACACGTTATTTAGAAAAATTGAGCAATTAATAGAATCCAATATATCTCATACAGATCCTCGCAAAAATACTCAAGACATTCGGAAAAGTTGAAAGCGCCTGTATTGCTACCAGTTGAATAATTAATCAGTAATTTCAAACATTCGAAATCGTTATTGACGGCAATAGAAATATACACGAGCGCGCTACATAACACGTGTTTTGCAAGGGTTTTATTCAATTCGATCGATGAATCAAAAAGACTCGAGTCCCCCTTGAATAGGTGAAATTTATATAATCGAATGAACGCCCGAAACTGCTACTGCACGAGCAGCACACAAGAGGCTACAAAAATCTCGGTTACGAAGGCAAACGAATGTCATCGAGGTTGCTCAGTCGCTATATGCACGCATTATAAAGCCACGACGCATTACCCACCACGTACGAGTGCGAGCACAATACGTATAAGTGTGCAAGAATTACAAACGTCCAACGAGTAATGCATGCGCACATGCGTGTATCTTTACACACATATAAACGTACTTAAATACGATCAGAAAAATATATACGGAGTGTGTACGTGCTACATATAGCGAAAAGTGAGTGAGTGAGTAGAGTGAGTGAGTGAGAGAGAGAGAGAGAACACAAGAAGCTATACGGCGGCGGAGTAAGCGCGCGCGGCGCGCAAAAATCCGCTTGGCACCAAGCTGGCTGCCACGAACCGATCGAGGCAGACAATATGGCGCCGATCGCCCCACCGCGAACGGAGAGCCGCGCTCTCGAGTCTCGGCACTCGGCTCAGCCAGGCAGCCTAGACATTAACGGATGCGGGTCTACAAAATGGCGGTGGCAGTCCCCCTCGTTCAAGTGTATGTGTGTGTGTGTGTCTGTGCTTGCAGAGGTGTGAAAGCGCGCGCTATCCTTTTCTTTCTCTCCTTTGCGAACGAGCCCTATATGTGCCACGAGCGCGCGAGAGAAAGAGACGGAGCGAGAGCCAGCGAGAGATCGTGCATGTGGGGGGGAGGGCGCCTACGCCCGCATATATAGCCAGGCACGCACGCATACAGATGCAGCGGGGCTGCCTGCACACATGTGTGTGTATGTGTGTATTCGCAAAGCGCGGGGCAAGAGAGAAAGAAAGAAAGAACGAAAGAGAGAGATGGAAAAGTACAGTGGCGTGGCGTCTCTCTTTCTAGCGCCTCGTTCCTGGAAGCTCAAGGGGACAAGCGAGCAGCCGAGCAGTCTCGAGGCTCTCGAGTTGGCTGGTGTGCGTGCAACCATGAGTGTGTGTGTGTGCACTGTTCGCAATATACGGGAAGGAGAAGAAGCGCGGGGGGACGAGCAGCAGCGGGGAAGAGGGACGAAACACAGCAGCACCAGCACCGGCAATACACACAAACTCGCGTATACGTATAAAAAAAAAAGGAGCATGGCTCGAGGGGGTAGGCTGGCAAGAGCGAGCGAGGCGCGGAGGCTGTGGTGGAGGGGACAAGGGGGCGACCCGAGAGTCGAGTTTGAGCCAGCCAGCCAGGCGGCCAACGAGACGGAGAGAGAAAGAAGATCCGGTCTCGTCTGTGTGAGGCGGTGCTGTACTAGTGTGCGCGCGACGGCCAGTCTGCGAAGGCATATACTTCGTCGCGACACTAAAGACAGTCAGTCGACGAATGTCTCTTTCGTTAGTAACACACAGCGGCGGCGTCGATTTTGTTATTATTATATTACTCATATACGCGCGTCGAGCAGTGCCGGCTTGTGTGTTTGTTTGATCACGGACACTCGTCCGATCTATATAATACACAGAGTGTGATTATATATCGCGCTTCGTGTCAAGTGCCTTAAGTACGGCGTGCGATGCTGAGCATTTTTTCGCCAGTGCCTTAGTTAATATCGAAAAATTGCCGAAGCCGAGTATCAGCCGCTGTACAAGCGACTCCGAAGTATAGCAGCAAGCAGCAGCACAGCAAATCTTCGACGTGAAAACACGAACTCTCTCGACCGAGGCGCCACTATACGTGTGATCGCATTCGCAGAAGTGTGCGTCGTCGTCCGTCTTATATATCTATATACATTGCGGAGAGACACTGGTAGTGGTGTGCGTGTGCGTGCCAAGTATTAGCGCGTGCATGTATGTATGGGTGTGCTGCCTGGCGCGCGCGCGACTCTGTGTCTATCTGTGAACGCGAACGCCGGTATATATGCGCGTGCATATACACCACATCCCATCGTTCGCAAAGTTAAAACGCTCTGCGCTGCCGAGTGTGCTGACTGCTGTGTGTTGCGCGGCGCGCGGTGTATAAGCGACGAGCGAAGCGAGCAGCAGAGCAGCATATTGTGTAACGCATTTCTGAATATAACGAGAACGCGCCGAGTGTGTATATAAAACAGAGACTACTCGGTGTGGCAAAAAAACTTTTGCCAACAGTGGTTGTCACCTGATTATTTTTTTCGTGTCCACCCAAGTGCAATTTTTTTGAATACGAATAAAACAAAACAAAAATGGCTCAAGATTTAGCCCAAAAGTCGCAACCTGTCAGTCACAAGAGCGTCGTTGGAAGCAGAAGAATATTCACTGTAGCTTTTAAGCTGCAGGTGCTCGAGTCTTATCGCAATGACATCGACTGTCGTGGAAATCAGCGAGCAACGGCGCGAAAATTCGGCATCCATCGGCGACAGATACAAAAGTGGCTGCAGAGCGAGGTCGTTCTCCGCAAAAGCCTGGAGAACAGCCCGACAGAGCAACAGAGTGCACCGGCAGCCCCGATGCAACAGACGCCCTCGATGCTCGAACCCGGCAACAAATCCGTAATCAAGGTCGAACCACAGCATCAGCAGCCACAAACCCCGAATAGAACGCCGCTCGAGGTACCCAAATCACATACAGCGACTTCGGGCGCACTTATGACCTTGAGTCAGAGCTCAGCCAGACTGCGTGGCGACAGCAGCGGCGGCGGCGGCGGCGGCACCGACGCCGAGTCGCTATTGCTCGAGCAGCAGCAGCAGCACCAGCAACAACAGCCTCAGCTACCGCAGCCACAGCCACAGCCACAGCATCAACAACAGTCCCCTCCACTTGTTTCTTCGTTTTCCGCCTTGACACTGCAGTCGTCGATTTCAGCTATGCAGAATCCCGAATCTTTTTACGCTTCCGAAGTGCCACATACATATCCTTATTTAATGTCGCAAGCCATGTTTCAACAACAGCAACTGAATCAATTTAATAGTTACGCGGTCGGTCCCCAAGAATATCTGTACCACCAGCAACAAGCACCTCTGGTAACCAGACATCAAAATTCGACATTGGACCAGCAGACCTATACATTAGATTACGAGCGATCCATGCATTATCCAGTAATCAAATCTGAGCGATCTAGTCCAGATTATCCGGTCTACACTGTGATGCAAAATGTCAGCGACGACGAGCGACAATTGCATCTCAGGGTACCACCAGAGGACTACAGAAGAACATCGATTGGTAGCAGCGAGGGTGGAAGTCCGGCACCGAGTCAACCGAGCACCATCGAGTCACACAACTCGCGAGACTCCGACGCCTTCGTCGATGCATCCTCGTCTGACGACAGCGAGGCTGCGGCGACCTCGTTGAGCGGCGATGACGACTCGCACCCGAGGCGTAGGTCGTTCTCGCTTCACTTCAAACTTGGCGTGCTAGACCACTTCCACGGCCACAACGACACCGCGGGAAATCAGCGCGCCACGGCCCGCAAATTCAACATCAACAGGCGCCAGGTACAAAAGTGGCTGAGCCAGGAGAGCGAGCTCAGGGGACTGGCGCTGACCTGCCGAACGGAGAGACAGCGTCTCGGACCGATGAGCAACGACTCGGGTGTAAGTAGTCCGGTCGATTTGAGCGCGGCTTCCGTCGAGTTCGATAGCAACCAAAATGCCATCGAAGACGAGGAATCGGTAAATTCTCAGGTCCCCGGTTACTGTTCCTGCTGTGCGGATGGCCAAGCCTTTAACAAACGTAGAATCTGTTGCATCGAATCGCCTTATCCTATTTCCGAAGAAGTAAGTCCGAAAAAAGCGCGTACGATCGAGGGCTATGACGAGCCCGTGCAAGACACGCCACTTTGTCTTGTGAAGCCGAAAATTGTAAAATTAAGCGCGGAACCAACGCAGCAGCAAGTCAACGATCAAGTTCCGGCGATTTCCAGCAAGAAAGATCAAATATTGTTCAAGCCATACTTGGATATTCCTAGTAGCAAATCGAGTAGGCAAGAGAGCAACAAATCCAATTTGCAAAACGTAAGCCAGACCGGACGAGTCGGTTTTGTGCCTTGGCAACAAAGTTTCGAGCACGTCAACAGCGCTTTTGTGAGGTACGGTTCGAACATGCGCAAATGTTGATTTTTCGCCCCATAAATATTTACAGAGACGAGTATGAAATTATATTATATTTTTAATATGTACAGTGATAATTACAAACTTAAGTTTAATTATGAGTACCGGTCGGAAATGGGATCTAGTCGAGAAATGAATAATCCCTCTTGGTACTTTACACAATTTCATGAAAAATAACTTAATTTTCGAAAGGCTTTATTTATTTTTTAGTATTCATGAGTAATTTAAAATATTAATACATTTTAGTATTTTTAAATGAATTTTTTTAACTAATGCGAAATTTTTAAATTACGTTAAAAATCGATTGACAAATTCTAATAAGAACGATCGGTCAATCTTATTGTAAAAAAGTCTGCGGTGCCTTTAAAAAAACACCGCTCATCTGCCAACATTAAGCAATTTGCTACTTTCCACAATAGCTATTAATGTACATATATTGTAAATATGTAAAAGTAAGAAAATTATTTTAAAATCATAATCGACGCGTTCAAAATTCGTGGTTTCTGGGTGCCTTTTGTATTCGTTAGTTCATGCTATAGCCTCTCACGGAATAATTTTTCCGAATCGGTGCATTATCGATGAGCTTTGAAATAGCTTCGAATGTATGATTTTTTAAATTATATGAAAATAAGCTCGATATACTATAGTGATCTCGATCGATACAAATAATGAAACTCATGTGCCTTACTACGAGTTAAACGAATTTTTTTTTGTAAATTCTACGTACTATAGTTAAGGATGACGTAGAAGAAACTAAATTAAATATATTTTGTAAATTTTAATGCAATAATAAATAATACACGTAGAATTTACAAAAACATTACGAGATTATTGTGTGATGTAAAAAATCAGATGTGCCTTGTACAGTAAATCTCGTATGAAAATTCTCCAATTTTAAAAATGTGATATCCCGAAATTTATATAAATCTTTATTTGCGAAGGACTGCAGTGTCTTATTTTCGAAAAAAATATCAAATGTACGTATGTATTTATGTATTTAATAATTATATCGATATGAACGAATATATATTTATACATTTACAGTTAGTTAACTGTAAATATTTATCATGTTAAGGACACGAAATTAGTGTCAAAATCAAATTGCATATATACGCGATAAATCGTATATATAAATATATTATTTATATTTATAAAGATGTATCTATAAACTTGTGATGTCTACGAGTAACAGCGACTGAAATTGTCTTTATGAAATGTGTGAATGTTGATAATATGTAATGTTTGAAAAGAAATCTTTAAACGTAAAACTCAGTTAACGATGTCATTGACTCAAAGTCTTATTTTGTGTAATAACTGAATAATAATAATATTATTGTTTAATTTGTAATAATATTAATTCTGTTATCATCGACGTATACATCGCAAACCTATGAAATTTATAGAGTATGAAAAGAAAATAAAAGAAATAATTTGGAAATAAAAATCTTACATCATTGAATTTTTTTCCCAGCCTATTATTGGACTTTTTTTTTTAAATAGATAAACATACGCATTAAAAAGTAATGACTTATTGAAAATGATAAAAAGCCTCATTGGTAATAGCGCCGCGCGTCCGGCAATTCTACAGTAATTAAGACTTAGGAAAATGCATCGGTCTACAAAATTGCACACTTCGAAATCTTCTTTTTTTTTTTTTTCAACCGAGTTACGAACTTTTAGCGCGTCTCATTGCATCGTGCATCTAGTTACAAACTCTCACTTTATTTACAGGAGCTAATCTAAGAAGAGGGTTAAGTCATTTTTAATTGAGATTGCACGCTTATCTCGAGCGGCGTAGCGATAAAAATTCCTAGTAGGCGCATCGCGCTTTATCGCGTTGGAAAGAGAGCTTGCAGCACGAACGAGTGTGCGTGCGTGTAAAATAGAATGGAAAAACAGTGAGTGCAGTTGGTGTACATTGGCCGGTTACAGTACGATAAAGCCGCGATATATAACATATCGAATGAAAATCGTAAGAGAAAACGTCAGCATAAAAAACCGAAATAAACAGCGGGTCCCAGCGTTATTCGAGCATACATAAGTTGCAATATAATAATGCGACGATGTACTCTGCGTGGGTGGGAGCTCGAGCGCGAGCCTCAGAACTTTTCCGACGGTGGTGACAGCAACAGCAGCAGCAGCAGCAGCGGCGGCGTAGAAAAGAGTATATACGCGAGCTGAAGTGTAGTGCAGCAGCAACGCCTCTCTTTCGTTCTCGATACTTATGTGTGTAATGCGTTAACACACAGCCACGATCACGAACGCGCGCGACTGCATCGTATAATATAATATACACGTACGCGTGTGTATATGCACAAATAAAAGTGTGTATGTATACAATATATATAAAAGGCATTGCAAGAAACAGCTACTTTACTATCGTAATATGTGCGCTGTGCACAGTGCACGGGCCGGACGCGGAGAGCCGCCGCCGCATCATGGCGCGAGCCGAGAGAGTCGTGCAGTCGTCCAAGTTGCTGCACTGCTGCATGCCTCGCCTCGAAATCGCGCGATGTTGCGTACGATAAATGCATACATATATACTCGCGCGCATGCATACATACATATCTATATGTATCGATAGGCGCGCATGTGTGCGTCAAAGTGTGTCTGTGTCCGAGAGCTGTGTGCATGAGACGACGGACGACGACGACGACGACGACGACGACTACGACGACGACACGCTGGCTAGCTCGTTCGTTCGCGCAGTTATGCACGCCCGTATTGCCGCGCGATGCATGCGTCGATGCATGTCTGCGTTCGTATATAACTACAATATACAGCTCTGCCTGCACATCGGTCCTATACACATATATAATGTATCGCGCACGACATTTAATTGACGACGATTGTGTTTATTGCGTTATTCGCGTGCAACCAAAGCAGAGTCGAGCGAGCGAGCTCGACGAGTGAGGCTGTGTGCTTTTTTGATCCAATTGCGCAGACACGCGGTCCTACCGGTCGTTTCAGACCTGCAATGAAAAAAAAGATCTGCGACTGCGTGTCGCAGGGCTCTCATGACTCAGATACGCGTCAAGTATACATATGGAAGAGAAAAAAAAGTAAACGAGAAAAAATGAAAAAATCGAAAAATAAACGCGAGCGTACGGGCGCGGGCCACGGATATATACCTGTACTCGCGCGTTCGATCATAGTTATTAACATACACGGCGTTGTTGTGTGTGTATATTGAGCGCGAGAGCTTATTCGAGTCTCGCACATCTCGACTGGCAAGTTTTCCACTTAACGCCTTTTGCCTCTCGCATTCAGCGCCTCCGTAATTATAAGTTGAACCGCCGCCGCCGCCGAGTATATATAAAAACTACGACACATCGAAGCACGAAAACTTGCAGCACGTAAATGAATGGTCTGCGCCGCGCTCGATCTCGAACTTTGCGCGCACCTCTCAGCGCGAGCGGTAAAAGTGTACACATACATACACACATATCGTGGTGGTATATACGAATGTGTGCATGTATACGTGTAAATTAAAGTGCACGTTATCTCTCGCGCCGAAGGCACATATATATACAATATAACCTTGATACGTAACGCCGATGAGGAATAAATATTATATCTCTTTCAGCTCTTTTTTTTCTTTTTGCGAGCGCGCCGTGTGCGTGACTGCAGGCCACCACCGGCACACATACATACATACACACGCGGCTTAACTCAGCCGTCGCATCTAAAATGCTACTGCCTCGCTCTTTTATCGCTCGTTGAAATTTTTCGCGACTCGCGCGCGCTTTTTTAATATCGAGCGAGCCTCGCGCGTTCGGCGATTTTCTTCGAAGAGATTTGCCCGGATCGATGTCGTTCGCTCCTGTCTTTTTTGTTGTGCTTCTTGCGATGGCGTTAAAAGGTTGGAATTGAGATTTTAAACGAGCTTTTAGGACAAATGGCGTTCGTTTGTGCGGCGACGGCGGGCGTTTACAACTCGGTTGCGACACCTTCATTGTTAATGAAAAAAAGAAAAACGTCAAATCGGCTGCTGCTCTACGCAATTATATCATACACGGGGGATTATGCAAATATCGTTATATTCGCGTCAGGTCTGCTGCTGCTGGTCTGCCGCGATTTGTGTGGTAAAAATCGCGCGCAAGAATCAAGAAAAAGAAAAAATAAAATATAAACATAATCCCGCGAACGTGAATCATGCCAACTGCAGAGAGTGTACGAGAGAAGCAGCGAGAGGGAGAGAAAAAATATATATTATAAGATAAAAAAGAAAAAAGTCGCGATTCAATATTTGCACGTATGCGCGCGCGCGCGAACGAGCTCGATCGCGATCGGTCATGGCAATAGAGGGAACAAAATTATATCCATCATCGATGTCAATATTTAATGAGAAAAAAAACTGGATTTCTTATAATTATAAAATCAGCGAAAAAAGAACATTCAACGTTGGTTACAATCAATCGGCACAAACAACCTTCGCTTCTGCTCTGCTGCTGCTGCTGCTGCTGCTACTGCCGTTTGCCCGTCGGCAATAATACAACGTGTGTCCATTCTCTCTTTCTCTCTCGCTCTGTCTCTTAGCTGCACACATGGGAGAGTATGTATGTATGTGTTGTGAATCAGCCTGGCGTTCGGTCGTAAATTGTTGCTCGTTCTCATTCCGATCAAAAAAAAAAAAGTAAAAAGGCAAGTATGGCTTGTATGGCTTCATTGATAAAAATCGGAGGAATATTTCAAAACTGGATTTTCACCAAATATATACACTCGTGCGATCTTTCCTCGCTCGCAGCAGCAGCAGCTCTCTCAGAAAAGAGCGCTAAATAATGAGCGCGTTATGCGTCTCTGCGCGCCCGATATGCACGCGCGTATATATTATAAGCGGGGAATCTTTATGAGTGCAGAGACAATAGTGGCCACGCAAGCTCCTTATACGCGAGACAAGAGAACGAGCGCGAGAATACATAGAATCGCGCGCGCACAAGTGGCGCTAAATATAAATAAAATTCGTTTTAATTATTTTCAACTGACTCGAGGTGCGTATACGAGAGAACGAGCTTGACGAACGAAAGCTCAATGCAACACGTTATACCTTGTGTATATAGAATCGTTACGTATGCATTAAAAAGCTGCGCACCGCAGCGAGCAAAAAGCTCTGACAGAGAGCGTAGCAGCAGCAGCAGCAGTAGTAGTAATAGTACGGCAAGTAGTACAACCGATTGCGATTCATCGCGGCCGAAACTACTTCATTCGCACCGACGTATACCACCGCGTCAAGAGAGATGTATTTAAAGCCACACGCGCGTGCGGCCCGAACCTGTGCATTTCGTTATGTGTCGTCGTATATATAAAACACACGCACGCAACTCGAATATAGAGAGTCGAGTGCTAATATATAGCACTTGCGCGCGCGAATCGAAAGAAGATACCCGAAAGCTTCGCTTTGCTCTCGCTCTCTTTCTCTAGCGAGGCGTATTTTTATCCTAAGATACGTTCTGTCTTTCTCTCTCTTTCTTCGGTTGCATTCGCTGCAGCAGCAGCAACTTATAACCGGCGGCGATGCGCAACGTTAATCTTGCACTTGTGTGCTTGCTGCACATGCAGTTTATTTGAGAAGTTTTGTGTGCTTTTACCGCTGCTGCCGTTGCTTAGTGTGCATTAAAAGCGACTTTTCAGAACAACCGGAGAGACTTTTCGCACCCGCTAACGCGCCCCCACACGTGGCGTGTCACCACCACCGCCGACGCCGTTGCTGATGCTGACACTACTTCCGAGGTTACTCCTCATTCTTTTTTCATTTTTTTTTTACTTCTGTTTTCTCTTACTTCGCCTCACTACCTCTCGCACTCGCTCCCTCGCACCCACCTCAAAGCTGCTTTTCAATATTTTCAATGTATAGAGCGCATATCTACCTTGAGACGTACAAAAACATGTGTGTGATATTTTTATACTCGACGCGCACATATACGCGCGTGTACTGTATAGACGCGCACACGCACTCTTAGCGGCGCTCACGACACGATATTTGCACGTATTCGTGGATTAACATGATATTGAATTTCCAATGATACATAATAATACAAATGTGTAATTGATTCGCACGCAGGTAAAAGCAAGGACTCTCGGCGATATAGATGCCCTCGAGTTATGTCTCGCCCGATGTTAAGAGTACATTGACACACGAGGAGATTCGTCGCAGATATCAAGACACGTCGCTGATCATCTTTAAAGTAAGCCAACGTTTCGACAGCTCCGTATAATTTTGCATTTATCGTATTTCACTTGTGTATTAATCGAATTCTATGCTATTTGCCGCGTCTCGAGCTTCAAATAGTCGTCATCGACGAGTGACATTACATTTTTTTTTTAATTACCTTATTTTTGTTTCTTATTTAAATTTTAAGAAGCCAAAAAGATAACAAATTTTTTTAAAGACGAGTATTATTTTTAAAATTTTCTAGGAACACCAGTTATACCGTGTGCGGAGACGACACGAAAGCGAGCGCGAAAGCTCGACGTACGCAAATTTCGATATAAATAGAAAAACAATGACCTACGCGAGCAACGGCAATGATCCTGTGATTTTGCCCAAAACGACGACAACGTCCGCCACTACGACAGACGGTGCTGCGCTAACGATCGCACGTACAAATCGAGAATCTAGACTGTCGCTTCAATTATTCAGGATACACCGTAAGCCCGGGGACACCTGTACAATAGGTTGAGCATCGAGTTAGCTGCATTTATATTTTTCCGTTAAAACTTTGATAGACTTTATTATGATAATAGTCTATGATATAATTTGTTTTTTTTTTTACACAATAGTAGCGTATCGTACGAATATTAATACAAATTTTTTAAATGGTAAACAGTGCTTTTTTCTAATAAAATATTCAATAAATTAATCTAAAACAAACAGAATTAAACAATCAGAATCACATGTTTGATAGTAAAAATTATACCAAGCTATTTTTACAAATTAAATTATATAAAAAATGTATGTACATAAATTAAATATATAGTAACAATCAAAGAACGTCTATGATCTGTACAATACTACCATCAGTCTATCATCTTGCATGAAATTTTGGCTTCGAATAGCCTGACAATGTTCTGTTCATTTTGACTTACTTTCTATGATCGCTGATAAAATGTTAGGGCATCTCATAGATGCTGACAATTATTTAAGAAAAAATAATGCATTATCTTTTAATATCTTTGCACAATAGCTTTAAATGAAGCCTAATTAAATAGATAAAAATTCTGATAAGTCTTGTATGTGTTACGTTATTAGTATCAAGTGCAGGAAGTTATCTGGATAACTGAGATGCTCTGATAACCATTGCAGGGGAGCATCCAATGAAGGAATTATTCCATGAGTTCTAACGGAGGCTGAAAGTATTAATTTTTATATTTAGTTGTATGCTTAAAATTAAAATATTACATATTTGTTTTATTATATTCAAACCTGTTTCTTCATTTGGAAAAAGTTCATTCAAAAGGTGTTTCAAAGTTTTTCTGTGTCCATCTTCTAATAAAGGTTTGACTAGTCTCTGAATGTATTTGTCTTCACTAATATAACATCTAAAAGGTATGTATTTAAAACCTTCATCGCTAGTAGCTTCCATAAGCTTACGATTCACAGCCCAAAACTGATCAAATTTGTCATTTAATAAACCAAGCCATAGTTGATTGTGGTCCTTCTTTTGCATATTTGAAACAAGTTGACCACGGTGTTTCAGAACATCAGCTTCTTTGATACAAGACAGAAAATGAGATTCAACAATTTCTCTGCAATAGTTTAAAATATTTCAGTTAATCTGTGATCACATAGTGCACGTATAGAGAAAGGTAAAATTTTTACTTGTTATTGCATCTCATTAGAACATCTTCTGGAAACTTCCTAAAATGTACAACAATATTCCAAGGCAACTGTACATCATTATGGTACAGATCCAGTAACGCACCAATTGGTATATGCCACTTCAATGGTATTCCGTTAAATTCTAGCCACATTTCATTTTCAGGCTTGTCTTGTCCTTCTTGCTGTACGTGTCGCATAAAGTGTTTTCTGACCTATAATAAAAAAGGTATAATAAATTACATATTATATTGTTCAGACTATTCTCAATCAAAATTTAATGAAAACTTACTTTATCTGTACAAAGAGGGAAATAACTTAATCTAGGCACCATCAAATAAAATGGATCAGGTGCCTGCAAATCATATACTTCCTCTGGATCTAATTGAAAACAAACAGGCACTTTACCTTCCCATATTTCACGCAACACTTCACGATCATTAGCCATTGTTATTATGATATGCTAAGAGGTATTATATTGTTTAAAAAACAAAAGAATCGATTCCGAGTGTTGTAAACATCTCAGTCTAATCAAGGGTTGCCATATCGTAGAGGGTACTTGGGACTTGGGTTATGTTTTATTTCCGTGACTTATGTGTTTCTCATGCCATCTGCAAGATGCAGTCAACGTTAAAAAACACGAAGAAGTACGGAGAATACATACGGTGGGTACGAATACCGACATCTTGTTAGACGGTCGGTAACATTATCGGACGAAAGTTGAGGTTATATTCGAGTATCGCAATTGGATAAGTGGAGTATTGCAGTTACTAATAGTCGGTTACATTTTTAAGAATACTCAATCAGTTTATCATCTGATTAAATTTAAAAGTGATCTATAAAAGCTGGATAATGATGTATACTTAAAAATCTTACTTCGTGATGTACTATACTTTTATAGCGTTCCATTCAAATTTAGCCAAAGATGTAAGTATAATCGACGCATACTTTATGCAAAGTCTGGTATGCACTTTTCAAAATGGGTTAAATTTGAATTTCAGTGGAATGATACTGGACTGTAACGGCGAAGTATAAAATAATCTTTGAGATGGACGAAATGGAAACGTTAGCCGTTTGACTTCGAACTCGTGAGTAGCCGTTAACACTAATTCACTGCACTTTTGATACACCATCTTTGGCTCGAGCTTACACGACTTTCTATTAGCCATTATCAAAAACACTTTACACAACACAACACAGCACAGTAGAACGCAGCACAACACACATTTCAACGATTCTCACTTGTTCTATCGCGACACACTTGCATTACCGAAACTTACAATAGCGTGAAACAAGAAGAATATCCAAACTGATTTACAAAAACTTGATCGACTGTTCGGTCATCAGCTCATAAGTTGAATAGCGGTTGGCGGCAGGGGGTGCAAACTGCAAAATACTGAAAATGCGCGGGCTGGCTAACCGTCGCCGCATTCTGCGTTACGCCAGTAAATTTTCGAATTCGAGTCTCGGCGATTCAATCGAAGATTCTTTTTTTTTTTCGTTTTACTAACGATTGATCATCGTGCGTGTCGCATTGAAAAAAAAGACGAAGAAACATAGCTGCAATTGTACCAGGAAGAACAATTACATAACTAATCGTATCGCTTTAGTTGACTAACCAATTGATAAAAGCTTGTCTCTCTGTCTTTCTTTGTGTGTGGGTTGTTTGTGTGCTAGAGAGAGAGAGAGAGAGAGAGAGTCGAGGCGTCGTTTTCTCCACAACACACGAGACGACAATTGAGAGACGCGCGCGCGAGTTTTAACGATTCTTCGCTCTCCTTTAAGTGATAATCTGTGCTTCGTTGCATATTAGACGCGAGTCGTTGCTCGTAAATCACGTGTGTAGATGTATGTTCGCGAAGCTACACACAGATAGTCGCCTATTAGGATCCATCGGTTGACTCGCGACTTTAATATGCGTGTATGCAGCCGGCGATCGAGAGCTGCAAAAATCGAAGAAAAGAGATTCGCTCGGGAGACAATAATAATACGGCGATAAGACTATGCTCGCATCCATGCGCGACGAGACTGAGTCAGAGAGCTGAGAGAGCGAGAGAAATGTGAGAATCGCCGAGCGGCGACGCGACATCGCCTCCGCTCAGATTTGAGATTATTGAGTCCGGCCTTTGTTATTATTGGAAAACATCGTCCCGAGCTTGGACTGCTGTGAGTCTATTCCTGTATATGTTGTTTATTATGTACCTATAATGTCGTGATTGGCCGTGAACCTCGTCGCGGTGACTCGAAAAAGCCACGTGCGGCAGCGCGACGCATATTGTTCGAAATCTCGAGTCGACGCGTCAATCCGCGCATCAACAAATATATACGATATGCACTTGTCGTTACGTTTACATTTTTATACGTTACATATACGTTTGGTGCCAATCGGCCTTGCGCGAATCGATCATTTTCATGCACACTCGTTAACACAATATTGAAAATATTTGGCTGCTTTGAAAGCTCGGCTCTGAATTCTTGCACCGAACATAATATCATATGCTCCCCCCTCGCGAATTATAATGTCGAGCATAGTTGCCAGTTGTACTTTACTCATTACTTTATAATTATTTAGAAACATTACATCAAGGGGGGGCTTACATCTACGCGCCACGTCCCGTGCATCGGTCGACTTGTGCATTCGAGTGTCGCGCGTCAACGCCTTATCGACGTGAGAAAAAAATCATCGCACACTGCACACTGTAACTGCACTGCGATCGGCACTGCATATTGTATACATTATTACAAGTTTAGCGAGCTCAGTTCGCGCGCAGCGATCCCAATCGTGTATTGGCGTGATCTGTGCGTCTCGAGCATTTTGCAGTAGTGCGCGCCGAGCAGCAGCAGCAGTGCAGTTTCCAGTATCGCATTATTATTATTATATAAATAAAGTCGCGCTCTGATCTTTCAGTGAGCCGCAGCGAGCCAAGAGATGTATACAGCTGCTGCTGCCTTATCGAGCTACAACGAGACCTCTGGCTTGCATCTCGCTCCGAGAAAGATCGGGGCAAAAATCGAACGCGCTCTCGAGATTTCATATATTACTTGTATAATACACGCAAATACGAGATCACCCCGTAAGAACGCGGATTCGTGGATGCGTCGAGGATCTTTCGGTATATCGCGTACGAATTTGACGACAAATTTGATTAACCGAGCTTTTTGATTCGGCGATCGAATACACCGCGAAATCGCCGCGCTGCTGTCCCATCTGTAAAATTGATTACGATCGCAATACAGCCCGAGACCAATATGAAAGACGTTAATTGCCGTATCGATCGCGATCGAATCAAAAATCGCTGCGCCAACTGCAGTTGCATTTATACATGCGTAATTGTATACGTGCGATGCGCTGCGGGCGATTATCTCGTTGTTATCGAGCGACTTTGCGCCAAAGCGATACTCGGTCACCATATGTAACATATTGTATCTCGCTGGCAAATGGCAATGCGTTGCATATTGCACTTGCGCTCTAATGTTCTTCCGTGTCGACAGCGCGTGAAAACGGGATGGCTCCGACGAACGCACATTATAAAATTCCACCACGGGCGCGAGAGAAGATCGTTGGGGTAGATGCGGCGAAGAGAAAAAACGAAAAAGGACACGGGTACGTTGCGGTCGAAGGGCCGCCGGTGTCACTGTCGTACTGCGATCTCTCGGTGTGTATATTATATATTCACAAGCGAGTACATTTAATAACTCGAAAGGGGACTCGGTGTGCGGAGAGAAAAAAACGACGAGAAAGATAATTGTGCATGAGTCTTTTGTATTTCTCTCATTTTGCACTATACAAGTGCGTGTGCAGTCGAATCGAGCCGAAGCCGTGCAGCAGATTTGCGTAACAATTCTCCCGACAAATATCGCTCGAATCTTATCTCAGCAGCCGATCTCCTACAAAGTTTCAATAACAATTAATTAACAAAACATTGAATTTTATACACGTCGAGCTCGCGTCGATAAGGAGCTCTCGCGCCTCGGCTCGGCGATGATTTTACCGTTGCAATATTTTATACGTCTCCGCGACGATCTCATACGCTTACAATACGCCTGTTATACATATGCGCGCTTTATTTATTCGATAATAATCCTACTTACATTGTCAGCGACGCTTTATCGATATCTCGAGCCGTACAATTATACCATCGCGCTTAGAAACTATTTTTTAATTTTATTTTCCTCTGTGCGATTTTTATTTTTCCTATTTTTTTGTACCCCCGTCGACGATTCGCGCTCGATTCAAGAACAAAAAGGCGATTATTGTGCGATTTGCCTCGTGCGACTTCTTTTTCGATATATCATTTTGCTGCATGTTCATACATTATACGCACTTGAACCGCGGAGCGTCTCTCGAGTCTGATCGATCAACTCGACGCGACGTTTTATAGTATTATACATTGTGTCGAGCTGTGAGCTTTTTAACCGATGTTCAAGGAAATCGAGCACAAATCGATATTTTCTAATGGCAAATTGTGTATTTTTTTTATCATACGTAACGTTTCCCACTATAATACTCTAAGCGATTCACACGTACAGCGTTTGTGGATATTATACATTTTCATTTTTGGAGACGCTCTTCCTAGTAGAAAAGTCTACTGTATGTTTACCAGTTTTTTTCAATGTTAACTTTTATAATTTTTTAAAGTTAATGATTCAGGCACTAATTTTATAATTAAATAATGGATTGTAGGGATAATAACTGGTTAACCATTTATAATGTGTCTCGATTTTAATCGAGAAAAAAGTTGAATAACAAGTTATATCTTGAAAGTTAATAATATAATGAAAAATATTGCCTAAAGAACCAAAAGGAGAAGCATTTCAAATTGTATTTTAGACTATGTTCCGGGCAAGATCTAGGCCAAATCTCAGCCCGAGGGGCTTCTTCCGATGCATATAATGAAGCGAATTATATTGCACAACTTCGTAGCAATCCATACTTAAAATTAAAGAAAAATTGTGGTTGAAATTATGGAGCATATGTTATTGATCCAGGACACGCATGATATTAAACAAAAAGAATAATAAACTAGTAGGCAATGTCGCAAAAAAAATTGACAAAAATATCGTCCAAAAAATCAAAAGGAGAAGTATCTACGTCACGCGGGGTTCCCAGGCGGTCACCCATCCAAGTACTAACCGCGCTCAACTTTGCTTATATTCGGTGATCGGACGAGAACCGTAGTTTTCAAAGTGATATGGACGTAGACATTATTTA